TGTTGATTTGACAATTCTATACATTACTCAGTGTTCATCGTGGTAGGTGTAGTCAACATCTGTCACCAAACAACATTATTACAATATGATTGACTATATTTCCTATGGTGGGCTTTACATCTCCATGGCTTATTTATTTTATAACTGGAAGTTTATATCTCTTAATTTCCTTTGTCTACTTTGCTCACTTCCACTACCTCCCCTTTGGCAGTTTGTTCTTTATATCTAGAGATCAGACTTGTTTGAGGGGGTTGTTTGTCTGCTTGCTTGCTTGTTTTGTGTTTTAGATTCTACATATAAGTGAAATCATATGGTTCTTGTCTTACTCTGCCTGACTTATTACACTTAGCATAATGCCCTCTGGGTCCATATATGTTATCACAAATGGCAAGATCTCATTCTTTTTTATGCCCAAGTAATAGTCCTTTCATCTATTACTAAACACTTGGGTTGCTTCCGTATTTTAGCTATTATAAATAGTGCTGCAATAAACACAGGGTGCATATATATTTTCAAATTAGTGTTTTCTTTTTCTTTGGGTAAGTACCCAATACTGGAATTACTGGATCATATGGTATTTCTATTTCTAATTTTTTGAGGAACCTCCATGCTGTTTTCCACAGTGCTTGGACCAATTTACATTCCCACCAAAAGTACACAAGTGTTCCCTTTTCTCCAACACTTGTTATTTCTTATCTTTTTGGCACTAGCCATTCTGATTTCTATGAGGTGATATCTCATTGTGGGTTTGATTTACATTTCCCTAATGATTGGTGATATTGAGCATCTTTTCATTTCTCTGTTGGCTATCTGTATGTCTTCTTTGGAGAAATGTTTATTCAGGTCTTCATTTTTAATTAGATTTTTTTTTTATTTTTTGGTGTATAAGTTCTTTTTTTTAGTGTTTATTTATTTTTGAGAGAGAGGGAGACAGAGTGCAAGTGGGGGAGGGACAGAGAGAGATGGAGGCAGAATCCAAAGTAAGCTCCAGGATCGGAGCTGTCAACACAGAGCCCAACGTGGGGACTCAAATTCATGAACCATGAGATCAAGACCTGAGCTGAAGTCAGATGCTTAACCGAAGGGGCCACCCAGGCGCCCCAGCAGTTCTTAACATATTTGGGATATTACCCCCCCAATCAGATGTATTATTTGAAAATATATTCTCTCATTCAGGAGGTTGCCTTTTTGTTTTGTTAAAAGTTTCTTTTGCCGTGCAAAAGCTTTTCATTTTGGTGTAGTCCCAATAGCTTATTTTTGCTTGTTTACCTTGCCTCAGGAGACATAGCCATAAATATGTTGCTAAAGCTGATGTCCAAGAGATTGCTGCCTATGTTTTCCTTTAGGAATTTTATGGTTTCAGATCCTATATTTGGGACTTTAATCCATTTTGAATTCATTTTTGTGTGTGGTGTAAAAAAAAAGCCAGTGGTCCAATTTCATTCTTATACATGTAGCTGTCGAGTTTTCCCAGTACCATTTATTGAAAAGACTGTCTTATCCCCATTGATTATTATTGCCTCCTTTGTCATAGGTTAATTAACCATATAATCATGGATTTATTTCTCGGCTATCTTGTTTCATTGATCTATGTGTCTATTCTTGTGCCTGTACCATACTGTTTTGATTATTATAGCTTTGTAGTATAGTTTGAAATCAGTGAGCATACCTGTGGCTTTGTTCTTTCTCAAGATTACTTTGGCTATTCAGGGTCTTTTGTGATTCTATACAAATTTTTACAACTATTCCAGTTCTGCAAAAAATGCCATCAGCATTTGATAGAGATTGCATTGAATCTGTAGATGGTTTTGTGTACTATGGACATTTTAACAAAATTTAACTATATTAATTCTACCAATCTATGAGCACAATATATCTTTCTATTTGTTTGTGTCATCTTTAATTTCTTTCATCAGTGTCTTATAGATTTCAGAGTATAGGTCATTCACCTCCTTGGTAAAATTTATTCCTAGGTATTTTATTCTTGTTAATGTAATTGTAAATGGGATTGTTTTCTTAATTTCTCTTTCTGCTACTACATTATTGGTGTTTAGAAATGCAACAGATTTCTGTATATTAATTTTGTATCCTGGGTCTTTACTGAATTCATTTATTAGTTCTAATAGTGTGTGTGTGTGTGTGTGTGTGTGTGTGTGTAGTCTTTAGGGTTTTCTGCATAGAGTATTATGTCATCTGCAAATAGTGACATTTTTACTTCTTCTTTA